TTCTTCCTTCCATGTATTTTATTCTGTTGGTGAGGCATTGGTCTGTTGTTCCTGTTTGTATATTTAGATTTTTCATTTCCAGAAATCATTCAGTTTGTGTTTTCTTTATTGCTTTTATTTCCATTTCCAGACCTATTTCCTTCAAATGTTTGGGTTTTTTTTTTTTGTCTTTCTTAGCTTTCTTTAAGGGATTTATTCATTTCATCCAATTGTTTGTTTGTATTTTCCTGAATTTCTTTAAGGGATTTATTAATTCCATCCTCAAGGGCCACAATCACCATCATAATGTTGACTTTGAGGTCTTTTTCTTGTGTTTTTATTGTATATAAACACTTCTTTATGAGAAGAAAAAGCAGTAATTTATTGAATTCAGATAGAGGGAAAGAGAATAATGTGAAATGTGTAATTTCATTATCTTTTAAGAATAACTGAGCTCTCAGAAATTTGATCATGTTAGATTATTATCCCATGTTAAACATACACTTATGTATCTTTTTAACCTAACAGTGAGAAAGGCATACTGATAAGCATAGCCATACATCTTGGATGTTGTTAAATTCTGTATATTAGTTACTGAAATAGTAGATTTTTCATAGAGCTTATGAGGCTTTTGTGACACAAAAGATCCATTTACAACTAATATGCCCGGTGGCATGAATGACAAGAAGCCTTACAGGGGTGATACTGGAAGCTCTAGACACTGTAGTGATTGATTTCTTTGTAGAGAGAAACAGTTATTCCACTAATAATGGATTAGAATAAGGGATAAAATGAATGGATTAAATTCATTATATCTCCACAGAAATTCTGGCATCAGTCAATGCCTCAACTCTATTCTAATGTGCAGAACAATGATTAGCTGTTTTGTTTTCTAGAATTTTGAAGTCAACTACAATATATTTTGAAGTTTAAAATTTCCTCTGAGCCTTGGAGATTCTTAGATAGTCTCTTTCACTGTTAGAGAGCATGTCATTTAACAGTTAACATTCGTTGTTGTACCAGCTAAGTTGTTGCTCCCCGGAGATTATTCAAGGAAAGAAACCTTTCCAGGAGAGATTTCTTCATTTGAATTTGATCCAATAGTTTATCAAATAATTTATAATGACCTTTGAGTCCTTTATATATTTTTATACATTCATGGGTAATCTCAGTTGCTTGGGTATAAAACTGTGGATATATATGGGGGTATGATTTAAGGAAGGTGAGAAACATATTGTAAAGATTCATTTTTACTGAATGAGGGATCGAAGACATCTTCCACTGCCTAGGAGAAAACTATATCTCTGTTGTATGTAGGGGTAAATCACAGACAGCCCACCATTACACAGAACTACAGTAGACAGTCACATGGAGGTTATTGTAAATCTTTCACATGTAGTCTTTTTTTTTTTCATTATCATTCCAAAAATTTACTACAAGAAGAAAAATTCACAGAACTGATTTGAGCATTTTTGTTTTGTCTTTGGCTTACTAGGGCCTTGAAATTAGTTTTGTAAACTCATATTTTCACAAATTAGGTCAATTTCATACATAGTCAAAAAAATCATAGCAACTTCATTTTTCTACAAAAATATTTTTTCAGAGCAGGTAAGAATGTCAATTAGCTTTGTATAGTAAGTATTGATATTATATTTGAAGGTCCTTATGCATGTTTTGTAAGCATATTAAGAACTTTGTCTACTGCATCATCCTTGGCAAGAGAGACAATTACTTTCTCCACCAAAAGGAAATCTAATAGGTAAGTTCTTGAGCCAATTGAGTAGGGACAGTGGGTAAATATTTTTGTAATACCTGAAGTAAAATTAATATATTGAATATTAGTCTCAGCAGAGATATCTGAACTGGAAAAATGTTTAGAACACATAAATTAATCAGATCAAAAATAATGTATCTGTCACTTTTATGGCCCAATTGTTTTCCACATGGGAATGTAATACTTATCTGTTACATGTTCAATTTGTTTACCTATTACATTGATTCATGAGTGTTACAATTTGTATTACACGTTAACAAAGAAATGTAGTTTTTAATGAAAATTAATACTGTAATATAACAGTAGGTATTTAGAGTATAAGGGAACAAATGTATTTATTTATGTTCTTGAGGATTCCTAAGGCAATTTATGTGTGAATCTTAAAATAACGATTGTAAAAATGTTAGGACATATACAGAGGGAAATCCATCATTAGAGAATGCCATTTCTACTGTCACCTAGACCACCCCAAAATTTAACATACTATGATGATCTTAAAGTATAAATTATTTTTTCTAGAAATGTGTTATACATTTATTTAGAGTATAAGTTGTCTAGTATTTTCATAGTATTGAATCCTTGAAAGTTTACATTTTACGGTATAACATAGTTTAATAATGATTTTTGCAGTGTTATGGGAACATTAATCTGAGCAAAATAGTAGATTTGTCCTAGTGAAACACAGCACTGATAGTTGAGCACTAAGGCTGTGGAATGTGAGATGTGAAAGCACGAATACTGGATATAGAATAGTCATTCGTGACACGCAGCAGGTGTGCTGTATTTAGTCTGTAGATTATGCAAGTTCAGATGTCTTGAATCAGATGTTGTCAGTAATGGGATTGATGCAAACAGGAATATCACAGTCCATTCCTAAATAAAGCTCAGATTCTTGCTTGTTGTGTCCTATCTCACTCTTACTTCTAGACAAGATATATTTCTGAATAGGAAATTATTGCTAGAATTTATATATGATGTCCTAGATAATTCTTAAGGCTTATAAGACTTACAATTTAATTTTATACAAATTGTATTTCCTGGTCCATGGCAATCATCCTTCTTATGAGGACAACTGAGATGATTTATTCTCTTTGGTCACAAGAGATACTCTAAAGCAATGATAATTGCTATCATCTATGTAGATTTTATTAGGTGTTGATAAGTACTTTAGGATTATCATCTAAACTACTGCAAACCATTACCACCAAAAAAGTATTAGGGAAAGTATATCTAAGCATATTCCAGTGCTAAAAATGATGAAGCCAAGGAACAGGGAGGCTTTTCATGTGGGCCAAAATTACATCCATAGCAAAGAAATGAGCCTGAAGTCACAACATAAGCCACATGGCACCAGAGTTCACATTATTCACCAGTAATGGCATAGTTCTATAGCAAGTGTGCAAGGATCTCTCTGGATATTATTTATGGAGAGAACAGAAGTCATTATTTAGTTATTAAATCTCACTTGCTAATGGAAACGTATTTTCAAGAGGTTTTAACAAGCTTGCCAATATTTGCAGGACTCTGTATATCTGAGAAAGAAAAAAATGTAGATTGACTAGAAAGAAGTAACACTTCACTGCTGTTCTTTGGATAATGACCTGGAAAGATTCTGTGTCTCTTTGAATCCCCTTGATTTTCAGCATGTGAAGAGGTACATTTGTAATTATATTTATAAAATGATAAGACTCAATTTTGCTTTCACTAAATGTAGAGTTTCTTTTTTAGTATGGTGTTTTGGGGAAACTTAACAGTGAACTTTTGAAAACCCCCTACCTAGAAAGACATAAATATTCAACAATGATCCACTTTTCTCCACTTGTCTTTTCAGTTTCTACATCCTGTGCTTTCATAAACTAAGAATTTCCAATATTTCTAATAGTAAAGTAGCTTTGGATGCCAAAGTTTGTTCCCGGTAGTGGGTTATATATAACAGGCCGATTAGATAATATTAGCACAATTGAACATAACATGTTAGAAACAGAGTATAGACATGGGTAAAATGGATCATATTTAAACTCTAGAGACACCAAGCAGTCTGAGATAGACAAACTAATTCTGTAAAACATCAGTGTGCTAAATAGTTATGTAGTAATAAGACACAGCATAAAGACATCCTTTTGAATTTAATGAGAATATTATAAAGGTGGCTAACCTTTGAGAAGTGCCTGCAGATGTCTAATAATGCAAAAGCAATGATGACCTGGATGCTCATAGATACTTGTATGATGCTTTAAATATATTCTCCATAAAACAATAGCTTCCAGTGATGACTCTATATTAATTGATACACTGACTTAAAATATTTATTTTATGTATTTGCCTGCATGTATGTATTTGGACCTTATGTATGTCTGGTGCCATGTAGGTCAGAAGACAACATTGGACCCACTGTAAATGGAGTTCCAGATGGTTATGAACCACTATGTGGGTACTGAGAATTGAAGTAGAGTCCTCTCTTGAAGAACATAGTTCTCTTAATCACTGAGCCATCTCTCCAGCCCATATTGAAGGCTGTTGACATCATAGAGAGTACATTTCTAAAAATGGGTGCCCTTTTCTAACATTTGCAACATGTTTGCCAAAAGTAACATTATTATAAATAAGAAGAATAAGTACCTGATTCAAGTATAGAGATATACTGACATTTTGTTCCAGATTCCCTAAACGAGGATGTCAGTTTGGAGGTCTGGTTAATCTATGGGGCCTCTGGTAGTGGATCAGTATTTATCCCTAATACATGAATAGATTTGGGAACCCATTCCACACAGATGGATACTCTCTCAGCCTAGAAATGAGGGAAGTCCTGGGCCCTGCTCCAAATGATATGACAGACTTCGAAGATCCCCAATGGAAGGCCTCACCCTCCCTAGGGAACAGAAAGGGGATGGGATGGGGGGTGGTAGGGGGGAGGGGAGGAGGGAAGGGTGAGGGAACTGGGACTGACATGTAAATGAAGCTTGTTTCTAATTTAAATTTAAAAAAGATAAAAACATAAAACAGATCCTTGTACTTGCAGGCATAACTAAAATTTCCAAGGAGGAATAGAATCATCAACAGGAGGATGACTGTGATTTTTGGAAGAGGAACTCAGAACTACTCACTCACTAAATTTCTACTCAAGTTCCCCATTGTAAAAAAAAAGGAGATAGTGTTTTCATGTTGAAAAGATTCATGGGCACACTTGTACTTCAGGGCAGATGTTGTTTGGCTTCTCCTCTCTGAAACAAACCTCCTAAAAAGGTCAATGGGACAGAACAACAATGTCACAGAGTTTATTTTCCTGGGCCTCACTCAAGATCCTGCTGGGCAAAAAGCATTGTTTGTATTGTTTTCACTCATCTACATTGTGACAATGCTGGGAAACCTGGTCATTGCAGTGACAGTGATTGCCAGTCCTTCTTTAAACTCCCCAATGTACTTCTTTCTTTCTTGTCTGTCACTCCTGGATGCTTTTTATTGCAATACCATCTCACCAAATTTGATTATAGATTTATTATATAATAAGAAGTCTATTTCCTTCAATGCTTGCATGGTCCAGCTCTTTGTAGAGCACTTATTTGGTGGTGTTGAGGTCTTCCTTCTGGTATTTATGGCCTATGATCGCTATGTGGCTATCTGTAAGCCTCTACACTATTTGACTATTATGAATCAACAAGTTTGCATTCGCTTGTTGCTGGTAGCTGGGGTTGGGGGCATGGTACACTCTCTTATTCAAGTTCTGTCTGTGTATAAACTTCCTTTTTGTGGTCCTAATGTCATTGATCACTTTATGTGTGACATGAATCCATTATTGGGACTTGCATGCACTGACACCTACTTCCTGGGATTCACTGTCATTGCCAATGGTGGAGTAATCTGTGTGGGAATTTTCACCTTTCTCTTGGTCTCCTATGGAATCATTCTAAACTCCCTTAAGACCCATAGCCAGGAAGGGAGGCGCAAGGCCCTGTCCACCTGCAGCTCCCACATCATGGTGGTTGTCTGCTTCTTTGCTCCTTGTATTTTCATGTATGCCAGGCCTGTTTCTAACTTTCCTATTGATAAATACATTGCTGTGTTTTATACAGTTGTAAGTCCCATGCTGAATCCATTGATATACACCTTGAGAAATTCAGAGATGAAAAATTCTATAAAAAAGCTCTGTTGTAAAACACAAAAAACATAAAACAAGGCTGCTTCCTTGCTGAATGTGTTATTAGCTGTCAATTGAAAACCAGGGATGCATTCTAACAAGTGATGCTGTCCTCTACTCACGTAGGCAAGTTTTGAATTATACAAAACCATTGAAATGAAGAACAAATTTTCAACTGAAAGTGTGATCAAGGTCAGAGTGACCTTTAGCCCTTAATGGTCAAGCCAAGAGAATGTTTAGAAGGTGAAAATGGTTACGGCACTCTTCCATATTGTAAGTAGCAATATAACAAAGTCCACTTGAAATTTATTTTTGTCAGATAGTTTTGAAGTAAGGCTAGATAAAAGTCAATATGGGGAAGTTTGAATCACCTCCACTCATCAGAAAATAACAAGAATGATACTCAAATTACAGGGACTAAAAGAAAGTTTTTAAGATAGCAATTTTTCACTAGTCTACCAGTATAGTGGACTTTCTGGCCATATTATATGCATTGCTTTAAGATTGTCCCCCTTCCTTATTTCCTTAAAGAAATATTATTATTATGTTCAAATTCTAAAAAAATGTGATGTTATGAAAAACATTTCCATAATAAAGAGATCACTCCAGTTAAGATATCACTTTCTTTAACATCTCACTTACAGGTTTTCTCACTGTTTACTTCTTTAGAGCCTAGCCAAAATCCACTTAGTATCACTCCAAGCACACATTCTTATTGCCTACAGTATTATCTGCATCTGCTAGAGGATACATATAGTACACTCAAGTATGTAAAAAGAACAAGTATGAATCTACTAATGAAAGTATGCTTGCAACTTTCATCACTTAAAAATACTTTATTAATTACAATATACTAAAGTATATGTAGCTTAGTTTTAAATTTCATAAAATCTTACCTATTATGAGAATTACTGAAAGTAGTTTTCTATACCTTCCTGATGTCATTCCCAGGCCCCCCAAATTAGTCAGTATAATATACATTTGTGTATCCTTAAAGTATATTTTGGATTTTTTATTAATTCTTTATAATAAATGACATTCATGACACACAAATCATTTTGTAGTAAATGATATAGCTCCAGAGTCCATGTATTTATCATTGCCTTAGGCTTTCTCAAAGTATGTGCTGAGTCCTCTCTAGGCATTTATTATTTAATAGAAAAACTAATGCCACTATTTGGCCATCATAATTACTATACTTTATTTACACTAGTTAGTACTTACATGAAATAGTAAAAGCCTGATGATGTTTGTATGGATCAGAAAATACAAAAAGGGAAAGAAATTTTTGATAAACAGAAAGAAGTAGGGCTGCTAAGATGGTTGTGTACATAGTTTCCATAGACTACATTCTGGAAACACATTGTTTAATCTCAGGGATTTTTGATGTATTTATGAAGCATATTTATAATTTTATTTAGAAACTGATCCAGACCCATGCAGTTTTTTGTGAATATGGACTATTCCCTTTAGTATCCTGATATTGGGTACCAGGGCAAAAAATTCATAGTTTAGCCTACTGAGAAAGAACTGTATTACCCAGTGAGATCAATGGATCTCTACTGTCATTTTCAGTGCCTATTTTCTTATATTTCTCAACCTATCTCCTTCTCAGAGATAACATACCTTTGGATAAATATTTGTTTAAATGAGTATGTTAGAATGAGCTTAATGTTTGCTAAATATAGGACTTTGGAGGAGGCCTCATCAGTTAAGCATGTGTTAACATCTTTTTTTCAGAAGAATCAGATTTATTTCCTGGCACCCACAGGAGGTGCCTTTCAACTGTCTAAATGTAGTTCTAGGGGATCTGATGCCCTCTTATTTCTGTCAGCACCTGAATGCACATGGCACACATAAACTTAGGCAGGCCTACACACATACACATAAATTAAAAAATAAACCTTAGAAAGACACAATGCCAATTTATAATAAATTTAGTAATAGACAGATTTTCAGCTGTTTGACAATCCTCAAAGTGAGAGTCTGGTAACTGAGATATATATAAAGATGTTAACTACCTTTATAGTAACTCAATACAGTTTAAATTCAGTAGTTTTCAGAGTCATTAAGAGTCGCTTTTTTATTATTTTATTTTATTAGTTCTAGTTAGGGAACAAGCTTATTT